AAGGCCGTAAAGTTGTGCATGAAATGAACGGGAAAAGTTAATGTCGCGGAACGCGGTGTACACACGGCGGACATTAATTCCGAACCGGCCAATTTCCCGACGGGAAGTCCCACTTGTGCGTCGCCGACGTTCGCCCTTTCGCCGCGCTAAATAATAATCGATTGTAAACATTCCCTTATTATTCTCTCTTAAACTCTTATTATGTACTCTTGAACAAGTCACTAACAAGTCACCAGACAGGCACGAGAAATCACACTCTCGCGCAGTCGGGATCTTCGGATTCTTATACGCAAAATAAATCTCAGTTCGTGCAACCGAACAGGAATCAACTGAAAATTAGGTGATCAGAAGCGATATCTCTGTTATGAAAACTTAATATTTTTGTTGTCGCAACCGAAAATGTTTGTCTGAACATTCAGCGATATTAGAACTCGGTTTAGGCAACTGAGAACAATTGACTATACAGAAACTTCATAAAACAATTTTTCTGTTCCTACAGCCGAATTTTCGTTTGATTTCTGAACAACCGAAAATGCATCAACGGAATTGTTTTTTCCGTGTACACGTAAAAGAAGATTGTTTGGATTAATCATTATCTGGTGAAGTATAAACGATTCCAATAGTAGTTGTCAGAATTCAGACTAAATTATCGAGGTTTCTGCCTAAATTAACGGAATTCCGGTAATTTCGATCGGAATTTCTGAATCGTTCATATTTCACTAAAAATGTACCTACACTGGACAAAAGACTTGATTAATGAAATTAAAATTTAGTTGAAATGAGATCAATCAAATGTTTGGTAATTACGACCAAAAAATTTCATTGCCGCTATTTTGCCTTGCTTAGTGACTGAATAAATATATTATTGAAAAAGTAAGACAAAACAGCGACGATTAAATTTGTTGATTGTATAATTATCAAACATTTGGTTGACCCTATTTTAACGTAATTTTGGTTTCATCAATCAAATCCTTTTTTCAACGCATTCAATCAAGCTTTCTTCCGCGCACAGTCGCGAAATATTCTCGCAGATTTTGCGACCGAGGTCGATTTCTCAGCGAGCGCCCTTCAATCAAGTTCAAATTGAAATGTTCGCTTTTGCGAGAAGTTGGTAGAGAGCAATTCTCTTAATATATTGAGGCAATGGATCGCCCTGGTACGACGAAAACTAGGAGACTGTCCCCGGCAGAACCGCAAAGCCCGTAGGGAGTTCCAGAGACGCTATCGTGGGGTATCCCACACAGAAGCGCGTAACGTTAGTCGGCTTTATGAGCTTATACCCAATATTAAGTGTCTTATTAATACGGGTACGGGCACACACACACATAGGACACGCGCACACAACGAAACGAAGTCCCGTTGCGTGCACGTAGTCTTACGAATTAATGTGATCGATGTGGCAGCGGATAAGGAGGGTTAAAGGGGATGTGTGGCTGTCCTTTCTTTTGCGGAGGACTAACTATTCCAGGCGGACGTCCGACCCGAACGTGTGCACGGAAAAAATAATTTGCTGCAGCAGCAAACTAATTTGCTACGCTGTAAAAACTTCACGGAAAAAAAAAAGACTTGTTAATATATGGACAACTAAAAATATTAACTGCAAGAGCAAATTTTCTTGCTTTCATAGTAAAAGTTTTATTTAGTTGTGACAGCTAAAAGATTTGCTAATATATATATTAACAAATCTTTTAGCTATCACAACTAAATAATTTTTACTATGAAAGCAAGAAAATTTGCTCCTGCAGTTAATAATTTTTAGTTATCCATATATTAGCAAATCTTTTTTTTCTGTGTGATGTGTTAAATTTAACATTTTATGTGTCCCAAATCATGCACTCTCATTTATATGTATAAATTTAACACAAAACAAAAGTGGTAAAAAGTAATACGTATAATATGTAAAAAATTAACACAAGAATTTAACACTTGAATACCGTCAAGAGTCACAGTTTGTGTTAAATTGAAATATATATTATGTTAAATTAACTAAAATAAAACGTTACTTTAACATTTGACAGAAGTATTAATCTATGGTTGTGATGAAATGAAAATATTAAATTGATAATCTATGTCTGACATATTAAATATGTTAATTTAACACAACCTGTGATTCCTAACGGTATTCAAGTGTTAAATTTTTGTGTTAATTTTTTCCATATTATGCGTGTTACTTTTTAACACATTTGTTTTGTCTTAAATTTATACATAAATGAGAATGGATGATTTGGGACACATGAAATATGTTAAATTTAACACATCAATTTTTACAATGTATATATGGACAGTTAAATATAATTCGCTGTGTTAGCTACTTTTTCTTTGCAGCAATAACTTATATTTTTGCTATGATAACTAAGGAAAGTCTGCTCCTACAAGAAGAAAAATGGCTAACGTAGCGAATTTGTTACAGATGGACAATTAAACATAATTTACTGCTTTAGCTACTTTTTTTGTTGCAAGAGCAGATTTTTTGTTATCGTAGCAAGGAAATTGGCTCCTGCAGCAAAGAAAAAGTTAATACAGCAAATTATGATAGTTTTCCATGTGTAGCAGATCTTTTTTTCCGTGTGGCTTATCAAGTACTGGAAGCAAGTAATACTTACTTGGACGCAGCACATATTTTTATGTACGTTTCATCTTGCTTCAGCCGAGTGATTTACAGCCGGGAAAGCAAATGTTTATTTTTCGTAAATCGAATTATTATTCCACGCGAGCGATCGAAAACTCGGACGTGCGTTCTAGCTTAAAATACGCCAGGCACGTTCGAACGCATTTCGCTTTAACGAAAATTTAATTCGAGGCGAAGCTTAATAGAGCCGACAATATTGAATATTGAATTTTTAATAATCGAAAAATTGCCACGAATAACAGTGTCTCTCGTAAAACTCTCACAGAAAGAGAATCGATTGTAAATTTTAAATCCGTATTTACGATCCTGCACGCAGCAATTTATATAGTACAATCTTTTAATATTCCCTTCCTCCTCTATCTTTCCCAAAAAGCAATTACTCAATAAATATAGCCGATTCTCCGATATTACGTGTACGACGACGTAATAGCTTTGCTCCCGGCTTTGCCTTGATATTGCATCTTAACATTCGATCTCTCTAATATACGGCATCTGCTCGATATCGCGTGATTGAACAGTAATATCGTATCCCCCAGCGATTTCGACGTAAACCTCGCTCGCGATATTGCCGAAATTCGCTTCAGAAAATCGTCGTTACGCCTGTGCTTCTGGTGAACTTCAATATCCGCGGCTTCATTATTCTTCGTCGCTAAAACACGAGCTACATTATTGCCCACTTCTCCCAAAAAAACGAGCGGCTGATCCCGCGTCGCACTCGCGAACCGTAACGCCGTGATATGTGCATGAAATACTCGATGCGACTCGCAAAGAACAGTCATGGGTAAATGAAACTTTCGAAATTCTGGGAACCAAATATCAAAAGTATCATTTCTTTCAAATTGTGAATGTTAGATTGATATTAATATAACTGATTGATATTAATATAACTGACTGAATGATAAATGTTGAAACTCTACACAGAAAAAAAGGTTTGGTTGAATTAACCAAATATCTGGTCGAATATGAACGATCCAGAAATTCCAATTAAAGTAACCCGAAGTCTGTTTAAGTTAACAAGATTTTTGATTGACTTAAACAGAATTCGAGTTACTTCAATCGGAATTTCTGGATCGTTCGCATTCACATTCGACCAGTTATTTGGTTAATTCAACCAAACCTTTTTTTCCATGTACTTCAATCAAACTGACACACAATCAATAATGTGCTCCGGAAATTAATATTCTTTACAAGTGATAAATACTTCCTCATAAATTGTTACTAGAGAATTCTTTGACGCCACGCGCACGCTGCATAATATATTATCATCAAATAATATGAATTTAAAACGATGTCGATATCCAAGCCGAAATTTTGGTTTCACGTTAACCTCAAATTCCATTCAAGAACACAAAGAGCCATTGTATTTCGAGGTATAAATGTGCAGCTCATTTTTTGCATCCTTCTTTGGTACCACAAATGGTTATTCGTTGCTGCTTTGAGATGACACTTGTGACATTTGTGACAGTAGATTCTAAATTTCGACTTGGATACAGGCACGAATAATATACGTCCGCAAGAAAATGCACAGTATTTTCGGGCAAAATATAATTCCTCCAGTTTGACGTGAACAATAACCGATTAACTATATGCGCGAGGAAGCTCTGTTTAAATTACTTCAGGACCAAGGCGACCGTAATCTCCACATGTGTGGTAAGGTCATAACTTGGTTCAAGACCACGCGGAGACCCACGATATCCAAATATCCAGCGGCACAATAACACTTTGTTACTTAGAGAAAGAGGAGAGCAGAGGAGTACTCAATTATAGTTCCGAAAAGAACAACGAATCTTCTTCAAGAGCGAGATAAAAAACAAGAACACGTAATACATTAAAATCACGGAAAAATAAGTTGAAATTAAAATAAATACAAGTTAAAATTCCTTAAAATTTAAATTTGAAATTTCTTAAATTTTAAATAAAAAATTTAGACTTATTAAAATTTATTATTAAAATAAATGTAAGTTGAAATTAAGGTATAAATAACAAGTTAAAATTGATTTTGTGAAAACTCTAAAAATTATTTTTTTCTTCATAACTTCTCTGGCGGAAAGAAAATTTCTCAAAAGTAAAGTGATAAATGTAACATCCTACAGAATATTATTTTTTCCAAAATAAAATCAAGGAATAAATAAAATCAATAAAAAAATGAAATAAATAAAAATACACAAAATCAATGAAAACTTGGAATCTTGCTGAGAAAAGCAATTCGACCGACTGATACCAAGATTTAATTTTGTTCTCGTTTTCTGGATGAACCATTTGACTGTGCGTTTCTTCGCAAACGGCAATGAGAGAGTATTCGCTTTATCTCCCTCGACTCGGACAAGATTTGACCGATAGAGACACAGATAAGAAAATATCAATCACTCACCATTTGGTCGTCCGCGTAGATCGACGATACCGGCGTTCCGCTGGTAAATAAGGAGAGAAGGACGGCGACTGCGATGTGGCGCATCATCTTCTCGTAGGGGTGCATCCTTAACTTCCCCGAGAAACACTGCTGCGGCACTATCACTCGCGACAGATCGTCCCGGCGACGACGACAAGGACGATTCTTCACGAAGGTGAAGAAGTTTCGCGAACGCGCGCGGCTTTGACAGCGTTGAGGCGGAGGAAACCGGCTACCGCCTCGAAGGTCTCAAACTTCGAAACCTGCTCGACACGATCGGAACCGAGGTAGCCGCAGTGGAAATATCTCGACGGCCAATTTCTCGGTCTATTCGCGACCGAATAATCCCGCTATCTGTTCTCGCGAGACACGAAATATCACCAAGTTCGGGATCGACCGGTCGACCGACGTCTTTCCTCGAGGTGCTCGCGAGGCAGTGTCCACCGCGTGTCGCCGATGAATGAGACTGCCGATTACTACGACACCCGGCGAATCACTCACCGACGTTAGGGAGACACGCGCACGTGACCGGACACGCGTCCTCTGCACCGTGTCTTGAGCGACCAACTGAGGGTTTTCCTGATGGAAGCCAACACCGTACGATACCGCTCTCTCCTCCTTCCACCAGTGCTTCTCCGAGCTGTGTTTTTCCTTCTTCCACTCCTGCCTCGTCTTCCGTCTTCCACGACAACGACGCGTATCACGACAATGGTTAAGAGCACGCGGTTGCCTCTCGTTATTTGCTCCTCTTCTTCCTTTCCCTCTTTCTTCGCGCGAATCGCCCTACGTCCGTCAACTCGGCTCTCCTGCGCCGCCCGCGGCGATGACGACGATGACGACGATTATTACCGGCTTCTTCGTACTTTCCTCCGGATTCGGGCTTTCCAGCGGCTGGCACGTCCATCCGCCGACCTGACGTGTGAAAAGTGTTGATTAGAGAAGAAAGAAAAGGAAAGAATAATTAACAGTTGAATATCCTGTTGTTAATACACGAGACACGCGGAATCGCTTTCTTACGTTTTGACGTAACCCGTCATTGGAAAGATGAGATCTAATAGACTAAGATAGTTGTCTAATTTCTTTCCTCTGTTTTTTTGTTATATTTTTATTATTTACGAATTATATCATTCTTGTGATGAGTTATAAGTTATATTGATGAATTTCAGTTTAATTTATTTATATTATAAAGGTAATTTATTTATATTATAAAGGTGGATTATATCTTTTGGAATAAAGATTAATTGAAAATTTTTTAACTGCACTTTCTCACTAATATCCGCTTCTACACTGAGAGAAAAATGTTTCGTATTTGTAACTATAATCATATAGAGAAATAATTACTATAAATTATGGTCAAGACAACCATTTTTTAGTCAATTGGGCCCAATTTGGTACCAACTATATTTTCTGGTTGTTCCGACACGAAGATAATAGTAACATGCATATAAAGTTATTATCATTAAAATTATAGTACTAATGACTAAAAAATGGTTGTCTTGACCATAATTTATAATAATTATTTCTTTATATGATTATAGTTGCAAATACCAAATATTTTTCTCTCAGTATACCAACACCGATTGAACCTTAATTTATAAATCTATTCAGATAGATGTAGCTACGCGGAATAAGATCTAATCGATCTTACTACACTGAGAGAAAAAAATAGTTGGAATAACTATAATCTTACTATATTTTATAGTTCGTTTTGGCCTCAAATATGTATTTATAGTTCATCTAAACATGAAGATATAATAGAATGAACACAGATTTATAGTCACTATCTTATTACTCTATTTATAAGCACCTTTTGGGAATATAGTTACATGTACCTATATTTGCCAAATATTCCAATTGTATTGACTATATAAAATAGTTAATTTCTCTTACCATTCAATATTTGCTACCTTACTATATTTTTTATTTCAAATAATTATAATTCTTGGTAAAAATTTTACACGGGTCAGTTATACTATGCTTATATTGTAAATATTACAAATATTACTGTAACATTTATTATAAAAATTATATTTCTAACTATAATCTTTTTACTATGCCATTATAGTTCCAAATATCGTACATTTTTCTCTCAGTGTAGAAGAAACTTACATCGGAGATTTAAGTAAGAGAGCCCCTCTCGTCTAATCACACGTAAGATAGTTGCCTAATTGAATGGGGAAGAAACGAGCCAATCACGAAACGATGAATCGTACAAATTACCGCAAATGCGGTTTCATTATTACGCGACGAGAGGGAGACGGGAAATGTCTGCCACGAATCTCGACATCCATCCTTTACAGGAACCATCCGGGGTTATAGAGGACGGGAACAAAAAGTATGCAACTTCATCATGCCCTTTGGTTCCAAGTACGGTTTCAGAAGAACCCCGTTCGACTCTCGCGCGAAACAGTGCTCTTTTGTATTCGGTGCACGATAAACGACTGGCGGGCTTAATGGTCCTGAAGAGCCGGGAATTCTCGTCACCTTTGAGAAATATAAGAAGTGGAAGAGGGGGAAACAGAGCTGGAGTTTAGCCGCCACCGTGCGGTTTTGAATGAATCACCGTGTATAAGATGCGCGTGTATAAGATGACGCATATTCGGAGGACTATCGTGTGAGGTGTAAACAGGTTTGTGTCCAATATTCCGGAAGACTTCTCATGCTATAGATATCATTCGGAAATTGCTACCTTAATAATTCACGAGAATCCGCTCGCGTATTATTAAAGTAAAAGTAGCAATTTCCGAATACTCATCCGTAAAAGATTTTTCTTAGAATATGGGATTACAGGAAACAGCATCTTGCAACTTACGAGAGTTCCTTGTTCTGGGATATATTTTTTGGTTTTAGGAAGATCTCCCCACCCGTGAGACTACATACAAGAGGATTTCGCCGAGGATGAGATAATATTTTTTCCGGGTGAAGATCACAACACGAGCCGAAGCCTGAATCGTGATGTCTGTCGCGGATAAATACCACAATCTCGCGTGTTCTCCAGTCGCACGATAAAACGTTCGCTTTGAGTGACAAACAGAGCGTCGACGTGCTAAATCGCGAAGACTCGCACGAATCATTATGAAGGACATGAAAACGTAACGATCAGTCGGACGGAAAAACGGAACGCGTCGTCGGAAAAGCGAGGCTTTTCGTCGGCGGGAACGAGGACGAGATAAGGAGCCGATCGAGCGACCGGAAACCGGAAGGAGATCACACGCGCGGCCCAAAAGAACGAGGATCGTTATCGCCGGGAGCGTGCCAACGCGAATGGGCTGACCTCGTTCCGGCGTGTTTCGATAGCCGGCATTCCTCTAGCGAGATGTCCGTTTCGTATTTTCTCGCGTCTCTAACAGCAATTTTTCCCGTACTCGTGAAACAATGTGTTTCCCGACAGAACGAACGAACGAGTCCTGCGGACAGTTAACCTTGGATGATTGCATGGCCGCAGCTTCCTTCAATTCTTAAAGATCTTCCTGGGATACGACTCATAGTCATTGACAGACATCATCGAGTCACACTGACAATATTATTCTTGTATTTGGAAAGCCAAAATGTCTGGTGGTTGGCATTTCCATGCTTTTTATTTGTGTCAAGTAGGATGCATTAGTGAGATGACAAAACACACAAGCGACAATTAAATCTTTTGGTTGCTATTCTGCCGTGGAAAAAAGTGGTTAACTACATTTCTGACTAAACCACTTTTTTCCTGGACACGGCAATATTGCCGAATATTTATTTGGTCGCTTCCATTTTAACCAAATTTCGGTCAAACCTGTGTATCAAATTTTCGTTTCGACAACAAAATACTTTTTCCAACTCTCTTAATTCTACAGTCGTCGCGCTACTTTTCGAACATCGAGTCGACGCATGGGATCTTGAGAGATGCCAATATAAAAAATTATTTTATATCTTTTATGTTGAGAACTTAAATATTTCCTTTGTTTAATTAGGTTTCTGGGTTCATGTAAAATATAAGAAAAGACGATTTTGGATATAATATTCTCTTAAAGACCCCATGCGACGATTGGAAGGTTAAAGTGAATCAGTGAAACATCATTGAAAGCAATAAATATACACTGGTTTACAGATATAAGTACAGCACTGAAACTGCTTAGTGCTCTACTTATAACTGATATCAGCAACTATTCACTGATTCACTTTAAGAGAAAATGCACGCTAATTACACTGTTACAAATTTCTGCCAATTTCTTACACTTTATCATGAAAGGATGTTCTTTAATGAATCGTGCGTTGAAGACAAAAACGAATTATCGGTTTTTTGAACTGACAAACTGGGTTTAAATTTTCAAAAGTGTGTTTTTAGTCATAAAGTGCCGAACTTTGACGACAAGAACAGGTAACAGCCTGACAGTGATACCATCCTGGTTAGAATGCTAAAAACCTAGATAACTTAGATAACTTGTGATTCTCAAACAAGTTAGAGGTGTGAGTGAGTGAGTGAGTGAGTGAGTGAATGTGTGTGTGTGTGTGTGTGTTGGATTTACACATGCATAGCGGCAAAGAAAACGGCAGGTAGAATGCAATGCAGCTGACTGCGCAACCTCACTATCGGGGCATTGACGCGCGCGAGTCCCTCTGACGAGTCTTTTTCCGCGGTAAACACACAACAGATAAAAAGACGGCAGCTAAGGAGAGACTGGGTCGAAGACCCTGCAGATACATCGGCTCACTTTTGTCCGAGTAGCCTGCCTCGATCGACGAGACCCATATTTTTAGTACTGCGACGTTGCGTCGGCGCAACAAATCATCGTGTAAGTACGCGGTCGCAAAAAGGAACTTCTGGACCTAGCATGAGAGAACAAGTATTTTCCGGAAACAAAAAATATCTTATCCGCTCGCCAAGAAGGAAGCTCGAAGGATTGTTCGTTCCTGATTTCCCTTTAAACTTGAGATTCTTGGTTCGAAGTAAAAGTACCATACCGAGAGAAAAAGACGATTGAGGTTTAACTAAATTTACACACGGAGAAAAATAATTTGCTGACCCAGAAAATTTTCTGCTATTCTAGCAAAATCTTTTCATTATTATATCGACAGCAAAAAGATTTGCTAACAGTACTAATCACTATCTGCTGGATATAATTTGCTGAATCTACAAATTATTTTGCTATAAGAATCATGATGGATTTATATAAGCAGTTGCAGTTTTGCTCCGATAGCAAATAGATTTGTTAAGGATATATTATTTTGTATTAATAGCAAATTAACGTGATTCTTAGGACAATTACACTCGGCAAATTCTTTCTATCCTGACAACGAAACTACTTCTACTCTGATAACGAATAATTTGTAAAATTACATCAACTAAATTTTTTTGATGTCACTACGAATATGCAGTAGCAACGACGATTTTGCTAAAAGAGCAAAATTATTTTTCTCCGTGCAGTTATTTCTGGTCCCAACCATATTTTTTCGTCGCTCTAACATGGAGATGGTAGCAATAACATGCATATATAACTACGTTATACGCATGTTATGTTAAGTATAATCATATTATATATTATACAAATATGTAATAATTATATATATATATATATATAACATATCGCGCCCACTTTTCGCTGCCAAGAATCAATTAAAGACCAAAACCGCACTCGAAGGATGTAATATCATTGACGTAATCACTGAGCTGGAAAGAACAAATGAAACTAACTGCAAGGAAACGACATCAGAGGAAATGACGTTGTTTAGCGTGAAACGCATATCGCACTTTACCTAAGTGGAAACGGATAACCGGGACCGGTTATTTAACAACAACTGCGCGCGATAAAAAAAATAGCGGGTCACCGAGCAAAGTATACAGACGACGTTGCATGACGACGTGTATAATGCACATTCGCCGACGAACACTCGAGATCTCTCGCACGTTGTACTACGCATCGGGTCGCAAATAATGG